AGAGAGAGCTGAGTGAGCTAAGAGAGAACAAAATTTTTGAACATGTCAAAAATCAGCAATAAGTGGACAATAATTATATTTTATAGGTGATATTGTAATACTATTGCTATTGTATTGTGGTTATATTGCTCTAATATTGCCTCTATTGTGTACATATATTGGCCTAATATTGCTATTATATCGTATGTCAATGTCCATTTGGTCTAATAACAATTGGGATGGTTGAAGATTCTTGGACACCTTTTTTCTTTTCAAGTAGTTTTGTAGAAACAAGTTCTACACATGGGCTTTTATCGGTTATATTTTAAGGCAAGTTCTACACGTGAGTTGCACAAAATCTGAAGAATATAACCATGAAATGGTTGAATGTTTCAACAACGGCTTCAAAATGTTCCGAGATTATGCTTCGGTCATCTCACCAGACTACAATTGGAGTGAAATTGATGTAGCTGGTGTCTGGGAGGTGCTGAATATGGGTGCTAAGGGAATGGCTCATCATAGCCTCGTGCATGCAGCGAGGAGAAAGGACAAAGACATGGATCTTTTGTTGCCTTCGTTTTCCCTTCGCGGGATAGTATTGTTAAAGTTCAGTGGCGATTCCTTTTGCATGTGTAAAATATAGTCTGTAATGGATGTGTGTGTAGAGAAATGATGCAAAAATTTGCACAAAGCAACCGCTGAATGTAATTCAAACCAGCACCTTTGTTGTATACTACCAAACATCAAATGCAAATTAACATCTATCTCATGGTTTGGCTACAAATGCCACCAAGCACATGCTCAACTTATAAGTTTGTAATCCTAATTTCATCGATTGAATCTTCACCTACATTCATAACACTTTTTATCATACATAACCAGCACTGTTTTACAAACAAGCCTAAAACCTTCATCCTGAAGCCTGATAACTGGCGGAAGATGCAAGATCCATAGGATCAAGGAACACAACTACAACTACAAGCATACAACAAAGCCCGGTAACTCAACTACAGCTACAAGCATACAACAAAGCCCTCAGGTGGGAAGTTCCAGCAGTCCACAGCATGACAGACAACGTACTCATTTACAAAGACAATAACCAAGACAAGATGATAACCCAGGGCATCGGATAGCATCATACAACCCTAAACCCCCTCTATAGAAAACATACATCAAAACCTAAGTTTTCTCTTACTCATCAAGATCCTAGAACCCTGACACAACTGGCAACCTGAAACATAACTTCTAATCAATCATTACCACTAAAAGGCCTTGATGTTTCTAATCTAATGTTCTAAAACTGATCTCCCGAGGTATTTAGGAATTATTTGGATTCGACACCCACACCAAATTTCCATACTTGCTAGCAACATAATGCATTCATCCCTCTAATAAGAAACAAATCTTTCTTTTTTCCTAGTAGTGATGAAAAGTAAATACAGTTAAGACAAAGAAACAAAAATGGTAAAAGTGCAATAAATCAACCCAATGAGACAAACCAGATACAACTCTTTCTCACCAAATTCCACAATGATTTTCAGTTATTGAAATAGAGAGAGAACTGACAACACATTTTAAAGAAAAGCAATTTATCAATGTCATTGCGAAACATTGTAACATTAGACTCAGCAAATTGTTTTGATAGGAAAAATTAGATCTGAATCATAATTCCAAAATCATTAAATTCTACACTTTCAAGAGAAACCCTACTCAAGTATCTCAAATTCCAAAACCAAAAACTGCCCGTATCCTCTGGAAAATAAGATCCCGCCATCCTCTCTGTGCATTCTCCACCAGTCACATTCCCATATCTGCATTACCAAAGGCACCAAAACAAAGCAATCAGCATTTCATAGAAGAAAAGAAAACAATATAACTCACATACTCCCAATCAATCAAACTAAAACTGAAAATAACCCATTAATTAAAAGTTCAAATCAAAACCAACCTGTCTTCCTCGGGAATATCTGAATGTGTTAGCTTGACAAAGTGAGCCCGGGTTTAGGCTCTTCAAGTATAAGCCTCACATGGAAAAATTCAAACAAAACACACTCAACCCACAAATCACAAAACCATTTAAAACCAACCAAGAATTCATTCCAACCAGAAAGAAAAACACTTGACATACCGTTGAATCAATGCCATCAGGCCAACTCCCAAATCTCCATTTCTGCACAATCAAACTCCCATTCTGCAACTCCAAATTGGTACCCGTCAGCGACCCATCGAAAATGCTAATCTGCCCATTATCTTGGTATTGCTCTGACTAAAAACCTTCCATCTATTCTCATCCATCAAAATCTCAAACAAATCTTTCGCTCTGCAACTAAACTTCTCAGTCATACTAATCGTCTTGAACCCTTCACAACGCTGAGGGATCACTATATCCCTTCTCAAAGGTCTACCAGTGTCATCTTTCCGCTCAGGTTCTTCACTACACTGTCCATACTCAGTTCCACCTGCACCAAACAACTTTGGTACGCTTAGAATGATAAAAAAGGTAACCTCTGGGGTCTAGTTCAACGCTCTCAAGAGAACTAAATAAAAGCCCTACATGGAAGCAGAAGGAATAAAATATCCTAGATATTGTTATATACATGAATTAAAAAGCAACCATCTTTTGGTATCCGGCTTAAAAGCAACCAAATTTTATATTAAGAAGCATTTACTTGAAAACTATCACAGCTCCTACTTCAAAACTCTAAAAAAAATAACAATATATTTTCTATGGCCTCACAACCTGCATCACATTACCTGCCAAAAGGACTGCAGTAAACAATAAGATCATGTTATCATCTAAAGCGAATCATAAGAGGTCTGAAGTTTCACACAAATATATCATAGACTCATAGGGCACCATTCAGTACCATTTAGAGCTGACAAAAACACAGTTTAGGAAGATCCATCAAATATACTATAGATGATAAAATTGTGGTGTTAAATATAAGAAAATTATTCAAAACCAATAAAAAACAATAAAAAAAACATTAATAAACAAAGCTAACAATGAGCATTGCAGAAGAAAAACTACATTATAAAGTTCATTTAATCCATAGGATTGGGAATTTAAAAAGTATTTTTGTTCAACCTCGCGACTCCATAAAACACAGATAGGTTTATAAGAGAATTTCTCAAACTCTTGAGCTTTCAAACAAATAAAATTAAAAAAACTACAGTACTTTGAAGAAGGAAAAGACAGAAAAGGGAAGGAAAACAGAAATTTCATTTGACAGTTTTAAGATTCTGCTCTTTGTAGTAACCATTAGCTCCTTTTAAACTTCAGAAGAATCACCAGACCAGTACAAAAACACTGATGCACCTATTTGGGATATGCACATTTAATAAAAAATTGTGAAAACTAATTTCAAAAGAGAGGTTTAAAACCCAAAATCCCTTTAAAATGAATACAAGTTAAGACTTCAAAGTCGAAAGGCGAACTGGTCTCGGCAGTTAATTTCTAAATGCAAGAATGATATCAACTTGCTGCAAAAACATTAGATAATTCAAAATGCTTAAATTCAAGAACTTTGACAAGAAAGTATCCATCTTAAGGAGCTGTACAAA